GGGTCGGGGGGGGGAGAGGGGGATTCGCAGCCCTCCGGGGGCCATGAAATGATGCTGAAAGAAGTCAAGCTGTTGGAATCCGTGGAAAATGAGGGGCCGGAGCGGATGCGGGTTAAGGTGGAGCGGGTTGGGGTGGGGGTTTTGGGGTGTGTGTGGGGGGGTATCTGTCCCTGCTGGCCCTCCTGCCGCGGCCACCAGGAGTGGGGTTGCTGGGCTGTGGGGCCTGGCTGGCAGTTGACCCCCGTGCAAGGGGGACGTGGTCCCAGGGCCGGATCCTGCAGCGCCGTGGGGAAGCAGAGCGGGCTGGGCTCGGAGCTCGGCATGGGATCCAGCCGGGGAGCCCACAAACAGCCTCCACCAGGTCCCCAGGGGTGAGGTGGCACCAGAGAAGAGGTGGCACCAGAGGTGGTGTGGCACCAGAGATAGGGTGGCACCAGAAGTGAGGTGGCACCAGAGAAGAGGTGGCACCAGCGATGGGGTGGCAGCAAAGATGGGGTGGCACCAGAGAAGGGGTGGCACCAGAAATGGGGTGGCAGCAGAAGCAAGGTGGCACCAGAGAAGAGGTGGCACCAAAGATGGGGTGGCACCATCAATGCAGTGGCACCAGAGTTGGGGCAGCACCAGAGAAGAGGTGGCACCAAAGATGGTGTGGCACCAGAGATGCGGTGGCACCAGAGAAGAGGTAGCACCAGAGATGGGGCGGCACCAAAGATGGTGTGGCAGCAGCGATGCTGTGACACCAAAGAAGAGGTGGCACCAGAGAAGAGGTGGTACCAGAGGTTGGTTGGCACCAGTGATGGGACAGCACCAGAGATGGGGAGGCACCAGAGATGGGGTGGCATTAGAGGTGGGGTGGCACCAGAGATGGGGTGGCAACAGTGCCACCAGCCTCTGGTGTCCCCAGGCAGGGACCTCACCCCACCGAGACTGATCCTCCACCCGGTGGGATGCTCAGCACCCGCGGGGGACTTTCCCTTGGGACACCCCGGGGTGCGGGGAGGTGGGACGTGGCTGTTTGCAGGCCAGAGCCAGGTGTCCCCGTCCCCGCGGGCACAGGGGGGTGACCGTGCCCTAACCCTACCCCAGCACTCCGGGGTGAGCCGGCACCCCGCGCCCCCC